CGACTCTACGGCACTCAACAACATTAACCTACATAAATATTGACAAGTCATTTAATCTTTTTAAAAAAGCAAAAAACACCAGGCCATATTCTCGTCACATTAACAGTTTTTTGTACTTTTATAAATTTACTTGTTTTGCTATTTGAAAAACAGATTATAAAATTATAAAAAGTTAAGAAAAGAATATGACCCAGTATTGTTTTTTTAAATGAAAATTAGTTAACAATTTTTGAAGTAGGTCTGAATTATTATTTATAAACAGAGAAATTAAGACTTCTAAAGATTCTGTAAATCTTCATTCAATTCACAATAAGAAGTTTTGTTTTTTTTTATTTTCGGACTTACAAATACGAAATGACTTGTCAATATTTAGGAGTTTGTATAATACAAGAATAAAACTGTCAGGCTCATAGCTATTAAAATAAAAACCCTCCTTCTTAACACTCCAACAATACATAGCATGATTAGATGTGGTCACTTGAGGTATGTATTCCATATGGTTTGTAACAGTGGAACAGGCAAAACAAACACTTAACTATTTCAAGTATTTACTTTTTTATAACTAAGGCTTGTCACTTGTTCTTTTGCGAATAAAACCATTCTTTAGAACTTGATTTAAAAATAAACAAAAAGACAAAAGTCTGCATCCTTTTTTAATCCAGAACGTATCAACATGATATTGCCCAGAGAAATAAAAAACATACAAGAAAACTTTTCTAAAATCCAAATGTCTGACACCATGTGTTACAAGAAATATATACTTCTTATGGATATGCTGTGGGGCAGAAACCTCTCTAGCTTGCTAATCGAAGTTCCATATCCAAAAAAAGGAAACATTTCAATTTTTTAGCAGGATAGCTGGCAATACAGATTATTTATTACACATTAGGAGGAGCGGAAGTAAGTAATATGGTTTAAAAAGAACTCAGGGGAGTAGGAGAAAATCGATATACTCACCCAAGAGTAACCATGGCTTAATAATGCCAACTTGCAAATCCAAACTAAGGTCCTGCACATAACCACAATCCCCCGCACCGTTCGGCTCTACTTCTTCCACAACATGAATTTTGGCATCTTTCCATGTTTCTATAATTTTCTTTCCAGTTAGCGTTGTCACCCTGGTGCATTGCTTCCTGAGGTTATTCCGGGAGAATGCTTTAATTTCCTGGTTAAGGGATTGCATTACATGAGCAGAAACAAATACAAACAAATCTCGCAAGCACAGAGACAGGTTGACCTGCACGTCACTTTCTGCTCAGGTAACAAATACACTCCTAGAGGCCTTTCCCTCCCACTTCCGGGAGCAGACAAGCGCCAGAAGGCAGAAACGCCCAGCTTGGTTTCTTTCAGGGTTGTAATGGAAGATGGTGCTTGATTGGCCGTTGTGAAACGGGCGCCGATTGGCGAAAACTTGCGTCATCGCTATAGGCTCAAGGCATCTGCGGCGAGTTTTCTTATTCCTGCTGTGAATATATAGCTTTATGATGCAAGTGGAATGATATTGTTGTTGTTGTTGTCAGGTGCCATC